AACTTGCTGTGTTCTCATATGTACTATCCAGGCTTTGTTTCAAAGGGCTAGTGCCAAAACGATTCGAAGTGATCAGCACAGGGCTGTCCAGCTGGACTGTGATCTCAGGATCACAGAGCATATTCTTTAGTCCTTTGTATCCTGTCAATTAATAGTCAAGTCAGTACCAATTTTATTCTCCCATTCTCTCCTCACCATTACCACCACCACCACCTCCACTACCACCTCTGCCCCCCAAATGTCCTCTTTGGCTGCAAATTAAGAAATCAAGCAACAGGCTTGGGATTTTAGGAAAACCATTTCCTACTGACCATTAGAATCGGATGTGGCCTTTTACAATTTCCTGCACTCAGTTTGCAACAGTCACAAGATTTGGCCAAGAGTTCACTCACTTTGATCCTTGAACTCTAAACATAAAAGATAACTTAGAAATCATGTAAATTTCATGTAATCACTGACACTTAACTATATCCATGTTTTAAGAAAAGTATATACACATGGCATAATTATATAAAAACTCTTATGATTATATAAATTATATAAAGAACATTTTCCCATCCTAGTCTCTCCATTCCTACCAAAGAGGGGAGATAGTGAGGAATGGAAAACCCACAGGGCTATGGATCTAAAGTTCCCAGAATAGGAGGAAGAATGTTAGTTATTAACCCAATAAAGTCCCATCTGCGTTAACATAGCTTTTCTCATATTCCAATACTAAGTTGATTTATTGTTGAAAACGCAACCATGGCTTCAGGGGCAAAAAAAAAAAAATCTTTTAAGTCCATAGAAAAAAGGCTGCTGCATTGGATTATAATATAATTCTAAGTTAGAACAGTTATAATTACTTGGCTCAATTTATTAAAATGGAAAAGCCTAAATAAACATATAATAGAAGTTAAATGGCAAGACAACCTCATGTTGAAATTCTTTAGGCAGAATTGATTTAATAGTGTTAGTGGAGTTCTTTTTATGTGGTTAACAAGGTCTAGCATAAAAACCAATCAAATCTGACATAACTTTTAAATGGCATGAAAAATGAAAATTTACTTATAACTTTCTCCCTGAGTTATTTAGCAACTTTGTCTTTTCTTGTGATTTTCTACAATCTTTTTTTTTTTAAGGCTGCTCTGTTACCTGAATGTTTATGAAGCATGGACAAGTCCATAAATGATGCCAAAAATCTCAACTATGTGTGCAGGAATGACTGGGTTACTGCTTGCTCCTCAAGAGAGCTGTCTGTGCTTTTTACATGAACATATAGACAAAACATGTTTTATTTTGGCTATGAATACATCCTCAGCTGGGGATTTGTCATGAAATTCTCTAAGCAAAAGGATTTCAGAGAAGCAAGTGACTTACCCACAACAGAAAAGAAAATCTACTGAACAGAAAAATAAGTAGGTCAGATAAAGAAATGTTTCTGGCATTTAAAAATAAGTAATATTTACTAAAATTTCACAAATCCAAGCAGATTCACCAGTTATTCTAAAACTTTTATACAAGAAAGAACAGCAGCACTTTCAGTATCGAGACTAGGAAACAATCACTACTAAGTTCCTGCAATGAATGAGCCAGGTACCACACTAGGCCCCCTGCATGTATTACCTCAATTTAATCTTTCTAATATTCCTACAGGGTAGATATTGTTATTTCCATTTTACAGATGAGAAAATCAGGACTTAGGCTGGGTAAATAAAAAAGTCACATGCTAAAATATGACCATGTTAGGACTTTATCCAAAATATGTCTGACTCCAAAACCTAAAACAGTTGGTGCTACCCCAATAGCACAACAAGAAATGTTGGAATTGTTTCATAAGTAAACAACGATGGAATTGTTTCATAAGTAAAGCAGATCAGCCCGGGAGTCAGAAGCTCTGGATTTTAATGATATTTCTATTGAGTGGCGATTTCTTCCAAATCAGTGGAGATGAAAATAGTATTTAACCTCATAAGGTTGAGATGAGAAGCATCTATAAAAGCCCAGTGAGGGGGCTTTGCAAAACAGCCAAGCGCTACTAGGTCAGCACTAGTTGTTGTTACCTCCCTGTCGAGCTCTGGATAGTGCTGCTGGTGAGCTGCCACCTGGCTGCGGGCTCCTTTGAGTCCACTCACGGGGCAGGGCAGGAGCAGCCTGGATGAGGCTGGGCCACAGAGAACAAAACTGAAGAGGTGAGGAGTGGAAGGGACTCGGCCACAGTCTCTGCTCAGCCTGCCTTCTCATGGCCTAAACGAATAAAAATTGACAGTGGGACAACTCTGTGCCAGGCAGAGCCACAGTTTGCTCAGCAAACTACTGGTCCCAAGTCCTCAGCTACCTTGGGAATCTATGGAAGTCCAGCTGCCTTCAGGAAGCTCACTTCTACCCCGAGGGGAAGGAAATTAAAAAGAAAACAAAACAAATTTTTTCCTCACCAACTTTCCCTATTACATACCTTCCCCCCCCCCCCAACACACACACAGGGACATGGAGGTTTTTCCACGGTACCTGGAGTGCCCATAAGCACTTACGGCCCCTTTATCCTCGTTAGGAGACCCTAGTGGCCCACTTTGGGATATAATTTTAAACTTATGAGCTTACTCAGAACAGTGACTTCCAGAGCAGAAAGGGTTAATTTCAGTACAGACAGAAGAAGGCTGATGACCCCAGGTGGAAAAAAAAATCAATAGATTAGACTACACAAAAATATAAGCCTCTGTATCACTAAAACAAAATTAAAACACAAAACAAATAAAAAAATAAGAAAAAAATCCTAGATGAAAATATTTGCAACAACTATGACAGAGGGTTTATAAGGGAAATACATGAACTAGGGTTTATGACAAATGAAAAAACACTAATTCTCAATAGACTAAATGGGCAGAGTACATGAACAGTTTGTTAAATAAGAAATACAGCTAATAAATCACATAAACATGTCTGATCTCATTAACATCAAATACACAAAAAAGAAAAGAAAACCAAAATACTCGTTATCCTAGAAAACTATCAAATATTATTAAAGTGAGAATATCACTCTGCTAAAGGGAGCAAAAATTAGTAGAAACTTTTTGGCAACTGATAACTGATCACACACACACACACACACACACACACATCCTTTGGTTCTGCTTCTGGTCATCTATTGTAAAGATGGAATGATCTGAACTACAGAAAAAGCTGACTGCACAGATATTTATCAAAATAGAAAACAGGCTATACGTTCCTCAATGGGATTAAATAAATCATGAAACACCCATAGAAATATATTTTGTAGTCCTTAGAAATATTTGTAGATATCTTAGTACTATGAGGAAATGCAAATAAAACAAGGTTAGCTTTAAAAAAAAAAGTGGGACACAAAATTATATACACAGACTATTTCAACTATCAAAAAAATATATGAATGAAAAAATACTGAAAAGAAACACACCAATCCAAAGTAGTTGTATCTTTGTGTGGTAGGGTTACTGATGACTTTTTTTTTAATTGTGTCTTCCCTATAATTTTTCTATACTACTCAAATCTTTGATAAGGTACATATATTACTTTTGTAATTACTAAAAAAATTGTAAATAACAATTTCAAGTATAAATTCACAATAAACAATAGATGGAAATCCAGCAGCATTCCACGCCACTCCCACTGATACCAAAATAGTAGGCAGTAGACAGGTAAGGAGGTAAACAGCAGGAGAAGCTGCTTTGTTTAAAATCTAGGGCTAGAAAAACATTAGCCTCCTTGATGTGAAAACAAAAACTTTTCACATCCCACGTATCAAAACATACTTTGGAAGTTCACTAACCAAAACATCTTCCATCAGAGGACTTAAACCTGCACGCCGAAATTATCTCCGCAGAACACACTAGTTAAGCAAGCCGGAAGTTTACTAGGAACACCCTAAAAACTAATAATTGTTTTTGCAGCTCTGCTAAACCCATGCCAGCTCATGTTAGTACACAGTGTAACATCAACAAACAGACTCCAGCGAGTCTGTCGCCACTTCTAAACAGGAGAGAAAGCATGTAATCCTTAGCATAAGGCTTTTCACTGGCAAGAATCACAAATGCTGCTAAAATTAAGCCTTTTTGGGTTCACCCTCTCAAAGGCTGACTTTGCAGTCTTTGAGATGGTCTTCTTAGACTGACAACCACCTAGGCCAATCATCTTCACAACCCTACCAGGCAGGGTTTCTCAACCTCAGCACTATTCATATTTGGGGCCAGATAATTCTTTCCTGTACATTTTAGGATGGTTAGCCACATTCCTGGACTCTACCCACAAAATGCCAATGGCAGCCCGATCTCCTGATTGTGACAAAAAAAGCCTTCTGACATTGCCAAATGACTCCTACAGGTCAAAATCGCCCCAGCTGAAAACCACTGCTGAAAAAGTATGTACTGTTGCTGCCTCTATTTGACAAACAAGACTGAGACACAGATATAGGCCCAGCTAACTCCAGAGCCCAAGATCCACAACTCCATACTACATTTGTGCCCAGGTAGGAAGCCTATCTTAGAGTGTAACTGATATACGTCTTTTCTACTTGGGTCACCTTTGCATCCCCCACGGAGCCCGGTAGAGGCCCCAACGAATATTGGTTGAATGAACCATTACATTTGTCACATAAATATTTATTGAGTTCCAACTGGGTAGTAGGTCCTGGCAAAAAAAAGTACAGTCGCAGCCTTCAAGTGGTGCATAATCTTTCTGAAGAAATAAGACATAGCCAGCGATGAGACATTTGGAGAGTCAGTTTTGGAGAAAACGTTCAGTTTCTTATCTGTAAAATGGCGATGATTCTGGTGCTGTCCACAGTTAACTGAGATGGTGCAAGTGTAGCTCCCATCACAGAGCACAATTCCCAAAAACCATGAGGTACCAAGTGCATGGCGATAAACAGGCACAGGCATTGGAAGAGTAATGGCATCTCAAAATCACTGAGCTGGAAGGAAACTTCGAAGACAACAAAGACTTACTGCTCACTTGGTACTAGAGTATTTAAAGTACACAAGTATTACCTGATTGCTGCAAAGCTCCTGGGCTGAACTCTGACTGTGACTCTCAGCAAAGTTTTCCTGGTGAACTTCTTTTAAGCGGGCCTGGAGGAAAAAAGAGAGTTTGAGCAAAGAGAAGAGCAAAAGGGAAAAAAGAGCTTTAGTGGGCTTAAAGCACTCCAGGGATCAGAGCCTGCATAGGGGAACAGGGAAAGACAGGCTTGGAGAAAGTCAAGATCAGGTGAGGTCACAAGGTGACACAGTGGTGACAATAGCCAGGTGAGAACTAAGAAATATTTCTCCTAAAAAAGCAACCAAGGACTGCTACAAAGCATATGCCCAACTTACATTTTGAACAAAGAACTCAACTTCTCAGACTAAAAGATCAGCATTCAGATTGCTTCACAGCATCCTGACAATAGGCAGATACTTGTTTTAAATTTACATAACTAAAAGTGAAGATTTTGCCAGAACAAAGAGTAGATCTGCCCTTAAAGTAAACCCAAACATCTTTCTCCCCACGTGCAGTTCATCCTGTTATCTAGGACACCAGCACAGCACAAGGAAACAAGAGCCCACAGTAGACACATCTCTTTTTCACATCTGAATTTCAATAGGTGAATTTCAGTGAGTGAAGCCTCCCAAACTAAGTGTTGGCTAAAATACCTTAAATACCACACGGGCCTGGGCCACACCAAACCAGTCTCCTTGCAGTCTCTGTCCCAGGACCACCAGCATGAGAGGAGAACACTGCTGTAAGCTATAGCTCACAGGAGGTCAAAGAAAGCTCTGAGCAGGCAGGGTGGCCTGGTATCAAATTTTTTTGTTGGAAAATCTGGTGGTGAAGTACAGAATAAAGTGGAGACTAACTGGGGATGTGAACCAAGACCATGGTAGAGGGACTGCAGGGCAATTGAAAAAATATTTGAAGGCAAAAATGACAGTGCTGATGGCAGGAGGGGTCCCTAGGATAGTATACACAAACCTGATCCATTGCAAACTCTGATAATGAAGCTGAGACTTTAAGACCAGAGGGAAACTCAGGCTTAAAAGTGAGCTCTTTGACTTCTGAGAAGCACGGCTATCTTCTGTGACCTGGGTAGTCACACATGGGTAGACCCCCATGCTCAGAAAGGCATCAGCCTTGGCTTAATGCTCCACTGTCACCATCTTGAGAATGTGAACGATTTTAACTTTGAACTTGTGTTTTGTAAATAAGGTCTGAGGGGACAACGGAGCACATGTGTGAGCAGAGGAGATTCATGTGTTACATGTAGCCTTTCATGATACTGCTTGTGATGCCCCAAGAGCACAGAACATGATGAACTCATAAGGCATCAGAGTCCAGAAAATTCAGAGCAAGTTCAAGGTAAGTGTGTCAGAGACAACTGAGTAAGCATGTGGGTGGGTGCTGACAGCTCCAAGAGGCTATGCTTCCATTCAAACCAGAACTTGTATACACATAGAAATAAGGCATCATCTTTCTAAGAAACACAAATGACCAAGGTACACTATCATATCCTCTCTTACTCATGTGACCTCCTGTGTTAGTCGACCACTTATACTAAAACTGATGGCACAGGAGGAAAAGCAAAGACAGGGCAACTTGGTTCCTGCTCCTTTCACTCCTTCCTTCCACATCTGTAAGTCAAAGTTGGAGTGTTGATAGAATGTGCACATATCAAGAAGTGAAATCAAAGTAGTTGAGTTAGTTCTGTGCAGTGTTTCTACTGTTCTGGCAAGAAAAATATACACATGCATGTAAAAACTACAAAATAACAAAATGTGAGATTTCAGCAATTCTGCATATGCATTCAGTGCTCATATTTGCATTTAAAACTGGCAAAGCACAAATAAAGATGAACAGTAAAATTCATGGGAATTTCAATTTTTATTTAATTTTTAAATTTAAGTCATGCTCTAATTTTAACTTTTAATTTTTCTTCACTTCGAATGACATTAAATAGCAAATAAACACCATGACAAGTCAAGAGAGAGAGACTATAGAAGAAAAGAGAAAGCTTTATATTTTAGCACCTCTAAAAGCACTTGCTTCTCATCTTTACTGACATCTTTCAGAGCAACACCCAAAAGATCCACCAAAGGAATAATGGGGTGGTCTTAAACACTGGATTGCTTCAGTCCTTTTCTCCCATCCCAATGTCATTACTACATCAAATCTATTGAAACGTAACAACCCAATGACTTTTCAACTAAAGATCTTTCTGCAAATAATTAGTTAAACTGAAGACTAAAGATGACCTTATCAGGAACAGCATTAAATCCAAAGGCCTTGTGCTGGACAAATCCTTTCTATGGAGTATTTCCCGGTGCCCTGGTAGTTCTGTTTTTACCAAACCCTGGCAGTGGCTCCAGAACCAGGCTGTTTCTTACCACTCAGACTGCTTAGATTTCCCCCAAGAAGTTGTTCTGTGAACCGTTAAGTCTGGATGTCTAAAAATTCTTCCTTCAAATACTGTCAGGTTTTCCTTTGTCTAATTTCATTCTCCTTTTTTTTTTTTAAACCACTACTTTCCACTTCAATAAATTAACTTCCTGCCTGGAGACACATCCTGGCAAATGTGTCAGTTTGTATTGTTTAGATGAGAGACTTCTGTCATTCTTTCAATTTTCTCCTCCATACTAATAATCCCTAGAGCCAGGGAGCCTGAGCTCCTTGTCTATGAATTCCTTTTCACTGCTTCCTACACTACTGGAAAAACACAGACCACCTGCAGTGAACTCGCTCAACCCTTATCTCTTCCAATCACATTTACTTTCCATCCCCCTGAAGTGCCCATCCCATCTGAAGATGGGTTCTTATGGGTTTTAAGACTAACCCAGCACCCTCCACCTGATTTTGAGTCTATCCCTGTCCTTTCCCCCAGCGTTGCACCCATTCCTTTCTCTCTTCCACTTCTCTAATATCACCCTCTCTACCTCTGCCTTCCTTAAACCCACACTATTGTCCCACATCTGTCCTGGATCAGTCCCTTGAAAGGATGGACTAACTGGGCCATCTGCAGTTCCTCACCTCCCAGGTATTCCTCGAGTTTTTGCACTCTGGATTCCATCTCTACTGTGCTAAAAACTGCTCTCTCCAAGTTCACCAACAACCTGGCAGCTGGACTGAGGGCAATTTCTCAGACCCATCCTTGTAACAAGTCTGCTGTCCTGGACGGTACATCTTCCCTTTTCCACCACGGTCCTCCACTTCTCTGGTGGTTCCTGCTCTATCTCCTTTAATAACTTGTCTTCTGCCCGACCGTTTCTAAATGTCAAGTACTTCTGGAAGGCCATGAGTTTGCTTCTCTTTTTATTCTGCGCTCTTGTTTGGGGAGTTCATCTATCCTCGCTCTTTACGTAACACCACGGGGATGATCCATCAATCCAGAATTTTGCCTAAACCCCAAACCTAAATTTCTAAACTCTTGTTAATATCTTCATGTGGATAATACTGACTAACAGTTCTTAATGGTTTTTAGTATGCCACGTACAGAACCATGCCAGAGGCAGGAAGATGAAGTGGTTGAGGATACTGGTCCAGGATTTAAACCTGTCTGTTTAAATCCTGAATAAAGTGCACACTGTGCGTCCTTGTGAAAACTGTGTGATCTTGGAAAGGTTACTTTGCCTCTCTGTGTCTTAGATTCCATCTGTAATGTGGGGAAAACTAAGTTAAAGTATGTAAGGTGCTTATAACACTAGTTGGTATATAACATGTGCTAAGTAAGTGTCACCAATTAACATTGTTATTCTCCTAAAAACCTGATGAGACAGGCACTATTGTTTTATCCATTTACACAAGAAAATAAGTAGGTTATTATGGGTCACGATGAAATCTCAAACTCTGTAAGTCCAAATCTTAACTCATATTTCCCATTAAAATTCAACTTTGGTATGTGGGCTGTTCTTGATTTAGGGTATCCTGTCCCCCTCCCTCTCCTTGCCACATATACTCCTAGTAATATCTAACATTCTATTTCCAGAGTCATCTTTATAAAATAATAGTTCTCACACCTCTCCCCACCCTAAAAATAAAAATCCATTTTAATGCATAATCTTGTCACTCTCTTTAAAACCCTCTAAGATCTGTCCCCAACGTATTTTACCTCTCTTAATAATATTGATCTCTCTGTCTTATCTTTCTCTAAACCTAATCTCACCATATTCTACATTTTGCACTAAACCCAAGTGTGTGCATCTCCTTCCATTGCCTGCTCAAAATCTCCTACCCACCCTTCAAGGCCCATTCAAATCCCACCTCCTGAGATGCATGGTGGCAGATGGCAACGAGATTCCAATTCCACCTCCTCTAGTGGGACCCCACGATGCCCAGTCTCTTCTTTTGCTCTAGTGACTAGTTCATAGCATGGTCTTCCTCCACCTACCTACAAAAGACCGAACACACTGATGTTTTTTAAATTTAATGTTTTCTATTTCAAAAGTAATGCACTAGTGTTGCAAAATAGACACAATATGCTATAAAATAAATAAGTAAAGCTCCCTTCATCCCTACCATCCTAACCCTACCCCCCACCCCTCACCCCCCATAAACCACCCCATTTAGCAGTTTTTCACATATTGACAAATGTCAACCTCGTATGTGTTCTTGCTTGTTTTTTCTTCTTAAAATATATATAATAGACATCTACACAAGTCAGTAGATTCTTTTCAATATTAACAGCTAAACAATATTCTAAATCTGCTTTACACTCTGGTTATGTGTAAGATGTACCATCTCTTTTCTGCCCCCATCTCCTGTATTTGAATACTCATAAGCATAAAGATCGTGTTTTGTTCATCCTTATATCTCCAAGAGGACCTCATACCAAAGCTGGGAATTGCTTAACAAATGTTCAATGAAATAGCAGCAACAATGTCTGTCATGCACTGGACTGACATGTGCCAGAAAAACAGCTGTAAGTATTTCCCATACATTATCATGTTTAATCCTCATAACCACCCAATTATTCCCATTTCACAGAAGATTAACCAAATCACACAGGTAGTAAAGGACAAGGGATTCTAATCTCCATTTATCTGACTCCGGAGCCCACACCCTTCATCCCTATGCTACAGCTAATAAAACTTTCATAAGGACA